AAAAAAAAAAAAAAAAAAAAAAAAAAAAAAAAAACACTTGCGGTAGGATGGAATCAAAGAACAGATAGGAAACATTCATGATCTATGATTCTATGGGCCTCACTCCAGTCTACAGAACACTTTACATGCATTTGGAATTTTGGACGCTTTCTCAGCCTTTCTGGACCCAATGCATTCAACACGTTTGTATCCACCTGCTACAGAAAGCGTCCAAATGCATGTAGAGTGTTATGTAGTGAGCTCAAATCATATGCACCTCTCACCGGTATTTACTGCATGGCATTGCATGCACTATTATTGTCACTGCCAAAGAAGAGAGTGAAATCGCATAACCGCAAGATAGTGAGTGAGAGACCACAAACAATGTGCCATGCTGACGTTGACATGCAACAAGTGACCTTTGAGAGTAGACCTGAGGAGCATAATTTGACTCATTTCCTGATCGATGACCTTTGCGCATATTGGCATGCAGCTAAGTTCGTATCATCCATGGCTACAGGGCCTGTCTAGCCTTGTGTTGGGTGGTTCATTGCATTCAAGACTTCAAGTGCCTCGTTGAGTCATTCATTGTGTCCCGGGGAAACCTGCTCCGCTCACACTTCAGTCAGAAGAAGCAAAGCCATGGCAGAAGCAGCAAGTAGGACATCCTTTCTTTTCCCCGGTGAGCAGGGCAGTGAATGGATGTCTTGGTTGTTCAAATGCCATTCCGAACCAGGCTTTTGTTTTTAAGACAACTAAGTAACAGTGAGATAGGCACACATACTGGGCTTGGCTCTCTTCTGAAGCAGCTGTTACAGAGGCACTGGGTCTCGAGCTTGCATGACGTCCACCGATTGTGGTCCGCATACTTCGTATGCTCCTGACAAAATACGCCCTGGCATCGCTTACAGTAGTGTTTGGATTTCCAGTAAGACCAGTCGAATCGAACATTGCATTGGTCTGCATTGCAGCTGCTCAAAGGATTATTTCAAAGCCAAACGCATAGCTCCAGAGTCCACACACACACACACACACACACACACACACACACACACACACACACACACACACACACACACAGAGGGCAGCAGCCAAAGCTCCACACACACACAGAGGACAGCAGCCAAAGCTCCACACACACACACACAAAGAGGACAGCAGGCAAGGAGCGAGCCGGTAAGAAAAATTGTTCGCATGATTGTGAGCCTGTGAATCTAACTTACCACAGTAACTTGCAAAAAGTAACCAGGTTTCTCTGTGAAACTAAATAACCACAGTAACTTGCAAAAAGTAACCAGGTTTTTTTGTGAATCTAAACAACCACAGTAACTTGCAAAAWGTAACCAGGTTTYTYTGTGAATCTAAMYWACCACAGTAACTTGCAAAAWGTAACCAGGTTTCYCTGTGAAWCWMAYYWACCACAGTAACTTGCAAAAAGTAACCAGGTTTCCGATAAAACCACTTCGTTACATGCACGGTAACTACAGCCAACGGGCCGACGCTACTGAAGGAGGGTGATATCGAGTTCCAAGGGTTAGAGGATTTTGCGTCCTGTTCGTCAATCCAGGCCAAGAAGGCAGCAATAATCGGGTACTTGCATCGCATATGGAACCACACCATGACGAAGGAGCAAGCTGGGCCAACCCTGTTAGGCCTAAGAATGGAATCGCGGAGGCGAGGGTTTCCAGGGCACTTTTTCGATTCACGGCTGATTCCATTTTCAGAGGCCAAGGACGGAGCCTGGGACGACTGGGTCGGGATTCTGTGTGAAGGGGATGGGCGTGCCAAGGAGCCGGGGATTTTTTCGACAAAGAAGGACATACGAACCAAGCCGCCGAAAGCGACAAGGGTCAGCGCGGGGCTGTTTTACAAAATACCTGCCGGACCGAAAACGGCAGATGCATTTTGGAGATGTGGCGCCAAGATGGATAGGCGATACAGGTATGCAGCGCTGACCGCAGACAGAATTTGACAAGGTGACCAAGGGTGGGAGTGGGAAAGTGGTTTTTGAATTTTTCGAATGAGCACAAGATTAAGGATGAGTGGGAGACATTTTTTTACGAAAGGAACTAAAGTAGGAACGATATAGGTAAGAAGGACGGAGTAGAACTCACCTTTCGAGAGTAGAGTAGCCCCTGAAGATGCTGCACTGGCAGCAGCAGAAACGAGTCGGGCGTTTTGCCAGGATACTGGAGTACGATGCTGCTTCATGTATCAAGAAAGCTTCATGACGACATCTGTACTTCCATTTGCGCTTCGTGCTCTATTATCCGTAACTTCCGGGAGGATTATTACTTCTTACTTTTACAACTTACTTATTACTTTGTCAAGTCACACGTTCGTGACATCCTCGAGTCCAGCACGGTCGAATGTATGATCAGACTCTTTTCCGTGAATGTTGAGATTGTGTGACGGTTGAGTCATGGATGATGTGAGCGAAAGGGCATGCGATCGAGTTGAGTGAACCATACGAAAAGAAATGGTTGGGATTAAGTGTGAATGGTGGTAGAACGGGTACGTGTGAATGAATGCGGGAAGTGGTGCGACACAGGTCTGAGTCAAAAGTAGAATGTACTGACGAATTGGATATTTTCACGATTGTTTGGTTAGAAGGGATGGACGGCATCGTCTGAGTCAGAAGGAATAGTGTACTGACGACGAATCCAATCAACTTTACCCGCTTAAACTGCACACTCCATGCACAGCCTGCAAGGACGCGTGTCTCACGATTGTTCTAGCATCATACCCAGGGAACGCTCTACCACCTTACTCTACGTGGGCTCACAGGGAAATTGGAGATTATTGGACTTGAACCGACAACTTCATTCATACTTGCAAAACATGCGTTCTCACGTTTCTGATAAAATCGTACAACCAGTCGAAGAATTAGTCATGCACACGCAATACATCACATTTTCTGGCCCTTCGATTTTCGTTCACTAATCTGCGACAACTCTAGTAGGAAGGAGCTATCGTATCAAAAAATGGCTTTTGCCAAACCATCACCATCCGTCGTCTTAGCAAGGCTGGCACATAGTACATAATGCCGCCTTTTTTTTTTTGTTCTCCTCCTTTTGTTTGCCTTTTTATGGCCTGCTCTTTTTACGCGCTACAGCGCCCTCTTCTGTCACCAAACAATGAGATTTAGTTCATCTGTTGGGAGTGGTAGCATAGATCTGTATGAGGGAAAATCCACCATCCATCATCGACAACACCACCATCGGCTACACAGGATAGTTAGTTGGTAGCGTGACGCAAAAGGGACGTCTTCAGACCGTACCGTTGATCAAATTGAATCGTATAGGTAGGGTTAAAAGGGCCTTTACCCGATATAGGCCTCAGGCCTTGTAAAAATAAAGCAGCACGGGCCTTGAAAAAGTAAAGCATTGTGAAAAGGTATCTCGTCAGAGCTCAGAAACGTGAAAGCAGGTCAAAGGTCAAGTTCTCTATCAACAGGCATATTTAAAACTAAGGCAAAGGGCATTGTCAAAAGACTTACCTGTTCACCAGGAGATGTGTATGTCATGTCTGTTTGGGTAAGGGTGTGTCTGTACGTG